GGCTCAGGCGATCAAAACGAGGAGCGTTCGGCCTTGATCCTGGCCATGCAGGCTTTGGAAGGAAATTATCCGTGCGTAGACGGCTCTGACGGAATCTCAGAGCGTTTCCGTAATTACGGCATTTACGGGTTTCCAGAGGTACCTTGCTGGAGTGTTCTGGAAGTACTTGATAGCAGGGCCATGCATGTTTGCTATCAAAACTCTGGGTCAGGGCTTAAACACGGGGAGAACTACAACCTCATAGTACCCCCTCTAGAAACCCGAATAGAAACCCAAAACCCCAAACATCAGACAACATCTTCAACCCGAAACTGGGAATGAGATATTCAACAAAGGGAATTCGATTGGAGTAGAACTACTGTACATTATGTAGGGTCTGATGAGGGACCCAAACCCAAGGCCCCCAAAGGCCCCAAAGTCACAGATGTACACTCCGGAACCTAGACAAGTCGCAGGGACATCAGCTGATGACCCCTGTAGACATGTTCGGAAGATGCGTTAATGGTCGTCCTCCAGTCAGAGTCAGAGTCAGAACCCCTTGGGATCACGATCTTGGAATTAGGCGCTCTGCATCTTGAACCGGAAAGTCTTGAGCGCTTCGGCCCTTCAAGAGCAGTGACTAGTTGCCAACATGACCTCACCATAGCCTCGACTAGAATGACGATGATGACGATGATGATGGCAACGATGCTGATGGCGACGGCTGTGAGGTTGCTGAACATTGTCATCCTCCTCACCATCATCACCATCACCATCATCATCGCCACCATCATCATCTTGTTGGATCCCTGCTGCTCTGGCACTAACCGAGCCTCTGCACTTCGGCGGAGATCTTCGACTGAGCCGTGACGGCCTGCTCCATGGCCTGGAAAATATGGAGGAGCGTTCCACAAGACGGTAAACGTCTCTGTTGGGGACGCCCCGGCTCGAGGAACGTGGATTCGGGAGGTCCGAACACGTGGTAATGATGTCGGCTTGCAGCTGGCAGTCCCGCCTATAGAGATGCACACACACACAGAGATATATATATATATACACATAGAGAGAGAGAGAGGATTTAATGGATCGAGAGATAGATAGGTAGAAAGAAAGAAAGAAAGGTAGGTAAGTAGGTAGGTAGGCAGGTAGGTAGATGGTTAGATAGATGCATAGATGGTTAGATAAATAGATAGATAAGAGATAATGCAGCGACATACCACCATACTGCTGGTGCAGGCTCTGCAAATCTTGCCTGGTCGGCAAGGTTCTGAGACCTCCGAGCCTCGTCAGGGAAGGGATGGGCAATGAAAGTGCTAGGTAAGGTGTAGGGTTGAGGGTTTAAGGTTTCGGATGTAGAACTTAGGGTTCGAGTGAAACAGTTAGTGGTTTACTCTGTGCCTTGATTGCTCTGGGTTCAGGGACGGGCACCTTGGTTTTGAAGTTTTCATGGAAGTGTAAGAACGGCTTATCAAATAGGATAGGCCAAAGATGCTGAGAATCAAGCTTTTTTATGGTGTGCCAGGACACTGTTTGTTGCCCTAGGCCACGCAGAAAGACCTTGGTCATTCCGAGCTTGTTGATGGCTAAATGACTGTTGACCCCGTAGGCACGAAACCAAAAGCCCTAAATCCCTCAACTGCCCTCTACTCCAGAAAGTTCCATCAGAATCTCCTCCACAGCATTGAGCCCAATCCTTGCAAGCCTAAACCTCTAAACCAACGAGAATGCCCCTCGGCGGAGCTTTGCGAGTATGCGCCGATTGTTTGCTTGTTTGGGAAGGGGTCCTGGTCTCTCGCCTGCTTTGCAAATCGAACGCTCGGGATTCTGCAAAAATGCAGACGTTGTTCGGACAGGAGTTTCAATGCATGGAGCATGGTCTCGCATGGTCTCCTCTGCGTAGCTCCGGTCTTCAAGTTGTCGATCATTCCCGTAGTCAGAGAGTCGCCTCGAGGCCGGAGAAGCCTTCTTGTGCCCGTGCCCTTCTGGATGCGGGCAGCGGAGGGTTGCTGCTGCCGAAGCTTTCACGATCACTGGGCAGCATGGAAAGGTAGAACAAGCTGTTTGGACTCAGGATTTACGGGCCAGGGGGTTAAGGGTTCGGGTGCTTCAAATTCAGACTCTGCCTGTATGACCCCTGACCCGTTGAACCCTGAAGGCCCGATGCAGGACCCACGAAGCCCTCTAAGCCATTACCCCGAAGCCCCCACTATGAGCCCTAAACCCTAGAAGCCCAAAGCCGGTTCTGGGTCTCGCTCGGTGTGAGCTTGAAAGGTTTAGGGCTTAAGAGCTTTGGGATTGGGGACAGGGCCTTGGGGTTTTGAGGCTATGTCAATGTGGCTTTTTTCAGGCTTTAGGGCTCGGGGGTCGTAGGGTGTTCTCACAGTCTTGCCTCTTCCTCTGCAGACGCGACCTCCTGGCTCATCATTTTCACCTCCGGAGCCAGCAGGTAAATGGCTTGACATGAGCCCTCAGCCTCAGCATTAAGGGCTCCGGGGTCTTGAGAGAACAAGGCTTGGGGTTTAGTGAGTTCAGGGATTCTGGGTGCAGCATTTTAAAGGGGCGCAACGCCAGAAGTGCAGGGATCCGACATGAGAATCTGAGGCACTCTTGCGTGTTCTCTAAAAGTGTCTATGCACCCCTCGGTTTTGATTAGTCCCTTCGCGACACTTTAGCCACAGGTGCAAGACTTCTATAAGGCAACTACCTGCGAAAATGGCATACACAAACACCCTAAACCCCTAAACCCTATAAACCCTAACCCCCACAAAATGCTTCGGAGGACTGCCTCGAAGGAATCAGGTGTAGAGCCTCACTCCTGAACCTACAAACAATGTCGAGGCCTTGATAGCTCGATTGGGGTTTCGATACACATCTTGCTTATGGTAGTATGGGCGTGATCAGGGAATCATAGCAAGAGTCCTTGAACTAATGATTCAGAAATTCAGACCCTCATAGTTTCGTTAGGACGCCAAAGAGCCAAATTCTCACTGGGATGCTTGGGCTGTGAATGCATGGTCCCTGGAGCAGGGTTCTGGCATTGCTCTATTATTTCAACAGCAGAGTCCATCTCTTGTGTAGTGACTGGGATTTTGGCGAAAGTTCGGCTTCCTAGATTCAACGTCGGAGACACATGATACAAGGGTCCGATAAGGATGAAAACCAGCTGCAGACCCTCATACCATCTAATCATCGCCACTACAGCATGTAGTCCCATCTCAGAACAATAGAAATACTCATGACTCATCACCGAATGCGTGAATGACTGAGTATTCTAGCATCCAGGATAAACCGGGACCGCATAGTGACAAACAATGACAGTCTGCATGCTTTAACTGTTGTGGAGATGCTGCTGTTCCTACTGTCGTATCGGCGCCGAGCTTCTCGGCTATTGCAATTATCACACATGTTTCCATTGCTGTTAGCTGCTAGTTGTCCCCAAGCTCTACGTCGCAGTTGATAGGCGTGAGGGTTGTTCCATGCCATTTTCCTTTATGGGGTTCTATGATGGTCGATGCACAAGCCTCATGTGGGAGTCTCGAAGAACAGCTGGCCCTAAGCAGTAGCGTCCTTACTGCATAATCACTTCAGAAAACACTCTAGAGACACGATCTGAAGGGGGTGTCGGGCTTTTTTCTCCTGTTTCCCTCTCACGAAGCTCAGAGAGGATCACCACGCCAGATCGGACGACCTACGAAAGAAGCACGAAATCCAGTGTGGATCTTAGCCGAGCTGTTGTAAGTTGTCAGGTTCCACAGCGCAATGAGGGACTCGTGCTTGAGGCTGTCTGCGCAGACTCTAAGGCGGAAGCCAGGGCCGGGAATCCTGGGGCTACGAAGCTGTCCATAACGACTCTTGAGCTTTAAAATTCGGAGATTGGAGCCTCCATGCTCCGTTGTACTGTTGCGGAGTGCCTATATGATGGCAGCAAAAAGGATGCGATGCACCGCATGCGAGGCGATCAAACATGGAGATCCGTCCCAGCACAGTACCTCGCCTGTTGTCAGAAAGATGCCGCACCCGATTATCATGCACTGCGTCAAGGCGTGAAAACCCTGAACTGAAGCCTAGGCCTTTCTCATCACATGGTGAGCTTGGCAGAGTGCGCAAAGCTGACGAGGGCTCACACTCAAGCTGCCCCTTGAGTATGTAACGATACAATGAACTTAATCGGCTTCACAGAGACAAGGACCGCATGAAATGTCAAGCAGCACCCACTCCCCCAACAAGATTGCCGGAAACCCTCAAATTGCGGACAGGAGGCTGGCGTAAAGCTCATTCCTGGAAATAGGCTAATAGGGTTTATACGGTCTATAGGATTCACTGTAAGCTTTGGCGGCTTAATGATTGAAAGGTTGCGGCTGCAGTGTCTCTCAGGCGATGCCGACTAGATCGACGATCGCGATTTTACTATTTTCGGGCTGTTCTGGACACAAGGACCTGTGTATATATCTTCGTTACTCGCTAGTACAGAAGAGACTTTCCAGCGACTCTCACCTATGCATCTAGTCTAGGGGCGGCTACACAGCGATAACAATAAGCTATACCCAAAACAAGAACTCTTGCTTAGCCTACTGTACTTAGTAATGTAACCGTAAACCCCAAAGCCCTAAAGCCCTAAATCCGAAAGTCGGCATTCAAACCCGAAAATCAAGGCTCCAGAAAAGAGGCCTTAACCGTTGGAAGACCGGTTTTGGTACCTGTTTGTGGTCTAAATCGTCCTATCCTCTGTTCCCTCCCTCCCTCCCTCCCTCCCTCCCTCCCTCCCTCCCTCCCTCGCTCTCTCTCCCTCTCTGTACGTTGCGATCTTTCTTGGGCGATGGGTATGATGACCGGTGCATCTGGGCGGGGCTTTCGTCTCTTTAGGCTTTGGGACTTGTAATTGAACTGCCTTCAACATCTGGAGCTTAGCAAATGTTTTGAAGGGTAGGCCCTCGAAGCTGGGGGTCCCGTGCCCGGCCTGGAGTTGAAAGGCCCAAAGACCCCTAAACACGGCCTCCGATCTTTCCCATCCCCCCCTGGGCCTTGCTTCCGCCCCCGTCTGTCGGCTTGGGATCGTCCTTCCACTGCTCAAGGGCCAGGAAAAAGAGAAAGGAACATAACTTATGTGTTCTGAACGTTCCGGCGGACACGGAGTAACAACAAGCACGATGTTAACGACAACGCACGGCGGCCCTTCAACCCCGTCAGGAGCCACAGAAGCAGACGAAGCAGCAGTGGCAGTGGCAGTGGCAGTGGCAATGGCAGCGGCAGCCGCGGTAGCAGCAGAAACTTGAGTATCATGTTGAAGTCATCAATGCAACAACACCAAGGCATGGCAGCACAGAAAGATTGGAGAACACACGTAATACCAAGACGCAAGCTCGACAAACGGGGTTGGATGCAGAAGCACATAAGACGACAACCGGAGGATGATGAGAACGAGGGAAAAGCACAAATACTTTGGAGGAAAACAGCCAGGTAGTGGGGTTGGTGGTTGGCGTGGCGGCCACCGGCCAAGTCGCTGCCTCGGGGTTCCTCCGATGTTCGAAAGCGTGCGAGGGAGTCAGCCCGAATAAACGCTTGCTTGTAGCCACTGTCGTCGCAGCACCAGTCATGACGGCATTGAGAAGAAGAGCGCTAATTAGGACACACTCAACACCTGAGCACTTCAGTGACTGAAACTTTTCTGGAACCGCCTCTACACTCCCATCATAAGGATCCACAACATATCTTCTTGAGAAAGCCTGCTGTGTTGGTACGACCTCCTCATCTTTGCCGCTTTCTTCGCTCTCGTCACCTTCGGGCTTCTCCTCCCCACTTTCCTCCGCTGCCGGCGTCGCCTGGGGCAAGGAGCTTCAAGCCCGAAGTTGAGCAAAAACTGTAGGCTCGACAGATATAAAGCCCGGCTGGGGAGTTCCCATGACATCAGGCTTCTTGGGGTGCTCGGTTGGTGCGGTACCAATTTCGGGACCCTCGATCCTCATGCTAGTCAGTTCTGCTTTGGATACGACGGTTTCAAGGTCGGTAGGGCGAAAGCCAAGCCTGAAACAGCGATGGTCTCGGAATGCCCCGACGGTCAAGCCGCAACGTTACTGAGCCATAAACCGCCCGGGCTAGATACATCCGTTCTGATAACAACAGCTGACTTGGGCATCGGCGGCTTACGGAAGCTTAACGCTCATGCTTGCAGTACTCCTTTAGGCTTTTGCGGCTAAGGGAATGCTTCAGGGTTCACTCGCCGCTGGCCTTGCGCACTATAACGCCAAATCAGAGTATGCCACAGCCCCAACTTGCACAGCTATCCATGTGCGAACAGCAGCTGCCGTGCTGATAATGGCATGGCGTTCATGAACTCAGGCACTGTAAAGAATTAGCAGTCGCACTACCACATAGTGAAATGGCAATGATGGTGACTGCCTGAACTATGAGCCCTACTCATTAACCACCTGGGTGTGGAGTAGTGGCAGCATAAAACCCCTAAAACCCTAACAGAGAGAATGCCAAGTCAGAGCCTGGGGGTCTACTGCGCAACTAAAGTTCTGAGTTCGAGACTTTCTGTCTTGGGCCTAGGAAATGAAATAACAAACACCTGGAAAGGGGTGTTGGGAGCTTCGAGGCCCCCTACACCGCTTCGTAGAGACAGTTAATTCGAAGTGGTTGTAGTAAATCCGCTATTGATTGGTACTGTCCCGATTCGTGGCCCAGTTGTTTCCTGACTCAGTTTCGCCTGTTATGTACTGTCTGCGCCGGTTTCGAAGAACCCCAGAGAGGTGGGTTGCCGGGACATGCCCAGAGGAGGTGAGAAACAGAATCCTGCTAGCAGACTCGGGGCTTGAGGTTCTGCTCAACTTGATGTTGATGATGCCCAAGACCTGTTTCCGTAGCTAGAACCATGGGTCAGGAATTTTTCAGGATACGTATTTCCTCATCGTTTCTGGGTAAGACTGCAGAGCGTGATAGGAGCAAGTCGCGAACTTTTTCAAAATAATGATAGCCACAGGCCTCTTGTATGAGTTATCAACCGCAACTTGGGCCTCTCCATCGCCCGGCTTGGCTTCCTCCTCCCCGTCGCCATCCATCTTCTCCCTGAGCGGAGACTTCGTGATGTTGGGGTTTAGGGTGTAGAGTAGGGCTTCTGCTTCGAGGATAGGGTGTCGCAGGAAACAAGGCCAATCTGGGAAACTGACTGCATATCAGGAGACGGGGTTCCCTCGCAACCAGGAATCCAGAAAGGGAACCAACATCCACATCGATGCTTCCGAACAAGGTAAACCAGAGTCACGGGATGAACAAGATAAGACGACATGTGGCACAGAGGATCAGGCCCTGCCATATAAGAACCTTCATGCTCTACGTACACTATATATGCACTGTAAGACGAAATTACGAACAAAAAGGACATGCAGGCTGGAACGGCGCAATTTGCTTGCGCCACTGACACCTGCAGGGGATGGGTTCACACCGAGCTGCTGGGCAGCCCTGAGCGCTGCAGCCATGTTGTCGTCAGAGAGCTCCTGCAGGAGCACGACACATGGGTTTAGGGGTTTAGGGTTTAGGGGAAATAACTTTCGTTAGTTTATATGGATAATGGCCCATGTAAGGATGCCCCAACATGTACTCAGGAAAAGCTCTACATACATGGTACTCGACTACACATCTGATCACACTGGTCTTACCAGGAGTGGCAGGTTTTAATAATGGGGAATTGCATAACGGGAGGGGTTTATCCTTACGATTCAGGGTTCAGGAGATGGACTTTACAAGGTGATCCTTACTCGGAGGCCTGTCATAAAGAATGACTCGACGATTGAGGGCCTAGGGCTTTGCAAATTCGGGGATCCGGGGGACGGACATGTAACAGCAGGCTAGCGTACTAAGAGAATGTGCGTGTGTGTATGTATAATATATATATATATATATATTTTATCTATCTATCTATCTACCTACCTGTCTATCTATCTATCTACCTATCTGTCTATCTATCTATCTATCTATATGTCAGCACGAGGCTTTGGGGGCATGAAGGGTTTGGGGAGGACAGCTCGGTCTTGCTGTTCGCTGCCTTAGCTTCGCTCGGACAGTTGCCAGTGATCTCACCACTTCGGGGGTTTTGGTAGGAACTCAGGGATCTCCATTCAGAATGACCTCTCATGGGAGTTCAAGGTCAATTTGGATCGAGGTTGCTTCCAGATATCACTTGAACTCCCCTAGGTACCGTACGCAAGGGATTTCGCTCTCAACATGCTGAACTCTTCAACCATGCTTAAATGCAGAACCTATGTAAAGTTTGCCTTCAAACCTTATAAAGCCGAAGCCCTACGCCCCTAAACCCTAAACCCGAAGCCCTGGCGTGCCTCTTGCTCTTCCGACTCCTCGAACTCTTTCTTCAAACGAACCAGGCGCTTGACCTGCTTCATTGCTCTTTAAAGCTCAGTAGCGCGTAATGTACGGGACATAACCGGGGGTTTTGGGTATACTGTGCAATATCGATATATAGGGATAACTATGACTATTTTAACTGAACTTCTGCCGACCCCTATACTTGGCTGTGAAGGTTTGACGGGGAGGTAAAGCTTGCGGAAGGCCTGGAATTTCATTCCGTTCCGCATAGCCAAGGGCTTCATGAAACTGCCTTGCTCAGGGATCGGGCAGCCCCCCAGAGAGCCCAATACCCCTTAATTGAGGAATATATGCCTTAAATCATAATATGAAGGCCCCAATATGCCCCAATAATTTAAGGTACATTCCTTCATTAACGGTTATTGGGCTCCCTGGGCCTGCATTGGGTTCCTGCACCTGAGTCCCTCCTGGTCCCTTCCTCGGGATCCCAAGTCTTCCTTAAGAAGTAGTCTTCATCCGCGGATGGCGATAGCGCGGAGCCGGTTACCTGGCATCCTTCCGTGGCTCTTCGGATCTGAGCACCAAAGCCCCAGACGGCTTTGCCCTGAAATCGCGACTGTAAAGAAGCAGTGCTACTGCAACTACTTGGAGGTTCAGATGGCTTGCATCTCGAGTATACTGTGCGTCTAACCCATTTATCAATTACGTCCCTAACTGGAATTACCTACTTTATAATTGTGCTACAGGTGCCCGAACCTCCAAGTAGCGAGGCTGCTCGAGGAGATCCGATGCTTCTGCTAAGTCGCGCATGAAAAGGTACAAAGGGGCATCTTCAGGAAATTCTTGCGTTAAGAACATGCTACACCCAATGGCTTTAGGGCTTGCTGAAGCATTCCTGCCTGAGAAAAAACCAGGAAATATCCAAAGGCTGGCATTTCTTGCGAGCCTGGGGTTCCCAAAACCACATAATTACATAAGGACCCGCCTCTTGAACTATCACGGCTTAAGCCAGGGGGTCTCTGGGCTCAAAACGCCCGCAAACCTGGTGAGGGCGGCCTCCGCCTGGATGCGCTTCTCCTCACTATCGTCTTCCTTCCTGCATGCCATTTGGGTTTAGGATTCAAGGCCTTTTAGGGTCCCGGGGTTTGTGCAAGAGTGCACGGCTCTCTGGATGTTAGGGCTTGGGTTTTGGGATTTGTGTGCAGAAGATCGGGAGGGCATGGTTCAACAGCCTCAGCCATACCGAACTCGCAGCAGTCAGTGTAGTACGTTAGAGTATATTATGGTACATTCTAGTGTGTAGTGGTATACTAACGTACTAACGTGCATTATGGTATACTATAGCATTAGTAAGAGCCTACACATAACCAACGGCCCAGCCCTGCAATGATCAATCCGACATACCCCTGGAGTGAAACCGTACGCACTACAAGCACACAAAGCCTGAAGCTCTGAAACTAAAGCATCAAGTCTTAAAGCAGCCTCACGCCTGAACCATTAATTGGGCTGCTTGTGGGGTTGGGAAGATCGGCTGGTGGTTGAAGCCATTTGAGCAAAGTCATGTGTCAGAGGGCCAGAACTAGTCCATGCCGGGGGTTTGGGGGTTGGGCGTGTAGAGGTGAAGTGCTTAAACCCAGAAGTCTACAACGACCATAGGCTTTACGATCGCGAGTTCAGGGACCATGAACACCAAGCGCTTGAATGGCATGAACAAAAGCTAGAAGACACGTGGCCCGAAAGCATCATTGGCGAAGAGTTTAGCGCTATGTAAAGTCAGAGAGTGGAGTACAAAAAGTCATAGAGTCAAGTGCACAGTTTGAGTACAGAGAATCTAGTGCATAGAGTCATATTGTCACAGAGTGAAGTGCATAGAGTCA